GCTCCCGGTCCCGGAGCCTTGCCTGCGGAGATTAATGGACTGCGGAGGAGCGGGCACGTCAGCATCACCCCTGTCACCATCAGCAGGAGAAGCGGCGGCTCCTGGAATGACATTGGAAGGTCAGCCAATCAGACGCAGAGCTGCTCCCGGAGCTGCCACCTCCGAGGCGCGCGCCACGCCGGGGCTCCCTTGCGGCTTTGGAAAGCGGGTGCAAATGCACCCTTCTGCGGGCCCGCTACCCGCTGCAACACCTCTGTTTCCTTTCTGGGCACCTTCTGGGTTTCTAGATATTGCTGTGAACATGTTCCTCCGCTGTACAGTTGAAAACAAAGGCTGCCGGACTCCGCCTGACCTGCGGTTGCCTTTGCACAGTTCCTGTTAGACGAACTTTACGACACGCGAGTTTGGGCGCCCTGAACTTGAGACAGCGTGGGATGGCGTCTTCAGAAGAAAGCCCCTGACCATCTGCATGGAGCAGTCCTCCCTCGGCGGCTGCTGGGTTTGCTGGCTCTGCTGAAGGCTGGCTGCAAGAGTCTTGTGAGGTTTGCCGCCCACTAGTGTCCTATGGCGGGGACACAATCGGCATGCAGGTAGCACCACCTCCCTATCTCCCAGGCCGAGGGTGCGGGCACCAAGGCCCAGCGTGCACTACAGTGCAGCAGCCAAGAAATACCCAGACGTGCTCGTTTGTGTGGGCACACCCCTGGGTGCCTGCCTTGCTCTGGTGAGGTGGGCCACGCATGGAAACCAGGGAAATCGAAGTGCTCGTTTCTGAAATACTATGGAATGCAATGCCTAATGCAAAATACATTCTTTTTCACTACCTAGTAATTATTTATGAGTCACATTCATAATCTTGCCCGTAGAATTCAGCTAATTTTATGAAACCTGGATGCCACCGATTTTGTAAATGCATCCACTTGAGAAACCCATCATTTTCTTTTGCAAACATAAATTTCCAATCTAGTGTTCACAGGTCTTTCTTTATAAAGTGACCTCCTCCCTCTCTTTCTCTCTCTCTCTCAATCAAGTTTTAATACGCATTGAATTGAGTCAAAATACTCCATGCCCCTTATCCCAGACACATCTAAGATAAAATACCTTGCCAGCTACCTGGAGGTCCAGGAATTGGGGATTAAAATTGGCAAATATTTTAGTCAAAATTAGTTCTCCTACCAAAATGCCTTATTGCGTGGGTTCAGCCCCCATGACTCACTGATCCCCTGAGGCAGCAAACCATGGTCACACCAAAGTGACAAAGGAGAGAGTCAAAAAGTGGAAAAGGATCCACTGGCATTTATTAAAGGTCTGCGTGGCATTTTGTTTTCCTACAGAGGGCATCTTGGAGGGGCATGCAGCTTAAGTTAAAAGGCCTAGGAATTTTAGGTAAACCCTGAGATTATGGATAGATTTTTAATCTGCTTAATAAAGATGGGGCAGAAAGGGAAGGGGAGGCAGCCCTGAAATTGTTCACCTGATAACATTTTTTCCTTACACACATTTATGTGAATTAAATAAAAATCACCTTCAAAGTCCTTAAGGTGCATTTGTATTTACAAAGGTCTGCTTCTAATTAAATAAAATAGCAAGTGTGTGCTCTGTAATTTCCTATCAAGTGAATGGATGAAGCTCAAAGGTGCTGCATACTCACCTTCTCTTTAATGAGCACCTTCTTACTCCCATCACCCCACCCTCTCTAATCTCCACGATGCTCAGGTCCCATGAAAGCAGATGCAGTAGAGCTCAAAATCCCACGGCTCAGGAAAAGATGATGTCAGGAATGCATGTGTGTGAGTCTGTGTGTGTGTGTGTGTGTGTGTAAAAACAGAGATGCCAGGATACTAGCAAAAATATATTATATATAATAAATCTGATTCTTTATCATTCTGCTTGTCTGAAGGCCCGCCTCTGCTTTTAGCAATAATTTTAAACTAGAATGTGCTCTGGGGTTAAAACCAGCAGAAATGGTGATGAAACACAATGCAGTAGGAAGCTTTGCTGAGAAGACACTGAGGGACGTGTGTGGGTGAGTGTCTGCACATACGTGTACCTTGGCGTCTTGCACTGTAACAGAAGCTCGCGTGTATTTCCAGAACATTGCAGAACAAATTGCTTTAAAACACGATTACTGCACCTTATCAGGTGAGGTCATTCATTTAAGGGTTTAACCCATTAAAGGCCTGGTCAATGACTTCTTTTTTTTTTTTTTTTCCAAAAATACTGTCTGCAGCCTGTCTAGCAATCTTACTTTTACTAAGAAATAACTGTACTTCCGACACATCAATAAGAAAAATGTTGTCATCTACTGTTAAAATGCAGATGTATTGTGGGCTTTTTCTAACAGTCCCAAATATTAAACTGCATAATCTTTTACAAATAAAAAAAAAAAGTTATCATGTCAGGCATTTTGATGCCTGAGGCCTAGCAATAATCAGTTTAGGTATTAGAATTCATCAATCTTTTACCACACACATTCAGAAATTTTTCAAAATTGAGGTATAACAAAATATGACAGTTGTTGACAAAAATACTTCTCCATTTTTTAAAATTTAATTCAGATAGGTAGAAAGCATTCACTCTTATATTTTTGAAATATGGCCTTACGAACAGGCATAGTTCCAAACTGGACTCTTATTTCAACTTGTCTATATATTTTATGATCCTTTCCCCAGTATGTAATGAACACCATGCCTTAGAAAACTGTTTAAAGCTGATTTCCCCTCCCCCTTCAAAGATCCTAAAGCTTTACAGTCAGGCTTTTTATTTTTTCATGCTTGATCATATAAAGAGAGGGGCATTTTTATACAAGATAGTTCCATAGCGTTCTGCTAGATTGGATCAGAATACATAATACAGTAAGGTAAAATATTCATTTGTGTTTGCTGTTTATGTCTAATAGTGTGGCATCTACCTATATTTATTACAGTAATAATAATGGTGATTATCAGTTGATTTTAAAAATCTTGAAATAATACAGAACTCACTATATGAGCACCTACATAATTTTTGCATGTATTTTTCATATTGAAGAATATTTGAGATTTTCTATAATTGTATTACCATATATAATTATTTCTATGATTGTTTATTTTAGTTATGAAATGCTAATTCAGAAAAAAGTCACACACATATACAGCATCTGTGTATCAGAGGCTAACACTCTGTATCAGTATCATAAATTCTTCCATACCATTTTGTCATACAAAATGCTTACACTGTAAATAAATACTGGCTGATGACAACCAGCACAGCCTCTTTCGTCATCCTGAAACACACACTTCCCAGTGGGGTGCAAATTTTGTTTCATCTTATAACCCAGGCCTTTCCAAGGAGTTCAGAAAGGTCCTCCCTGACAGGTGAAACAGGCTGTCAAGGCTCTGTGTCTTTGGAACACCTCTGTAGGCATCTGTACATTTCTTAGCAGGTTGCATTAACGGAAGAGCAGAAAGGGCTGACTTCCCCAACACATCTCCACATGTTCCCTAAGCAGATCTGTCCCCGAAGGGAAATTCCCAGGAGGACACAGGACAGGTACAGTGCCCTCTGGGAAAGATGGGTGTCTTGTCAGAACTTGTTGCAATTCTTTCCTGCTAGGAAATCTCAAAATGAAAGTTTCAAACACTTTGCTTTAGGTTTTATTGGAGAGAAAGTATCATCTTCATGTTCATTTTGATACCACCTTCTTTCAACTCCACCTTTTCGTAGTCACCATTTTTTTAAAAAAATTGACAATGTTCATGCATTTCCTCTGGCCTGTTGGTATGTTGATTCTTTAGGTACTGTCTAGGTAGGTAAAGAAAATGCACTGCCTTGCAGCCAACACGCAGAGCTTCCCTGTGTATCTTCCAGGAAAATCTCAGAGCCTCCCCTTTGCTTCTCGTATTTTCTCACAAGGGCCAGATTTCCTCTCTTCTCTTCCTTTACCTTCTCTTCTTCTTTTCCCTCTCTCTCTCTCTCTCTCTCTCTCTCCCCCTTCCTCCCTCCCTCCTCTCTCTCTCTTTCTCTCTCTCTCTCCTCTCTTCTGGCTAGGGGATTCTGCTTAATGGTTTAATTTCAACTGTCAGCAGGTTATACATTTTATGCAGATGTGTGTTTCAAAATTTGAAATGGGAATTTAAGCTGTAGTTACTCCCAGGCGATGTCAAATGATGACAATTTCCTCTGGTTCCCACAAGAGAGGAAGCCATTCATACATGTAAGTTCATATTTACGCGGTGACAGACAGCCTAAGGTGCAGTCACACTTACTAATTGGGTCTGACTCAGTCAAGAGCAATAGCTTTCTAAATACCCAGGAAGAAATCACTTCAAAATATAATATTGGCTGGGCATGAGGAAAGAAATGCTATTTATAATATTCACTGATTTCATTTTTACTACTATACAGGTGTTTCTTTTTTTTTTAAAATTTGTCAACATTTCAGATGATGTAATGCTTATCAGTGCATATTTTTACATAAACGACTGTGAGGAGCATGAAGCAGCACGGGGTGCACAGAAGGACAGATCTTTCTTAAAGCCCTCCTTGGTGCTGGAGATACATTGTACTAGCATGAAATTACGTGTTTGAAAAATCTCAAAAAGCACTGAATCTGAAGGGAGATGTTCCTCATTGACCCCTCCACCTGCGTGCACTTGGAATGTCATATCCCTTTCCCAGGTTGTAATATTCAAAGTGGCGATCTTCCTGTCTCTCCTGTCACCAGACCTGGTTTATTCTGAATGAGGCAGCTCTCTAGTATTGGAGTTAGGCTCTGAGCTGTCACTTGGCTAGGTAAGCGCCTTCCAATGATTACAGAGCAATTTCTCCCCGGCCTCTCCAATGCCACCTCTCCTCCCCGAAAAAACAAATATAATATTTAAAAAATAAATAAAAGCACGAAAATTTAAACACAGATGAAGAGGAAAAAGAAAGAAGACTTTACCCATGCATCCAATGCCATCCCCCGCCCCCCGGGTCAATGATAAGGAATGAAATTCATCACAAACCGAAAGGCTCACCATTCGCGAAGCTCTGGAACAAGGAGAGAGCCAGTATCCACATGCCCCTGCCGCTCCCCGGCCTCCCGCGAGCGACGCGCCGGCCTTGCCCCCTGCGCTCCGCCCGGCCCGGCTCCGCTCGCCGCTCGGCACCTGCCCGGGGGCCGCCGCCCGCCCGCCGCCCGCCGCCCGCGAGGACGCGCCGCCCGGCGCCGCCGCGCCGCGCTGCCGCTGCCTAGACCGCCCGGCACGACGGACGCGGCCGGTCCGGAGCGAGGGCTGCGCTCGCCGCGCGCTGCGCTCCTGCACACCTGCTCCCGGGCGCCGCGCCCCACGCTGCGGCCGGAGCCCAGGTGCGCCGTCAGCTCAGTGGGCCCCCGGCAGGTCGGCAGGTGGAGAGAGCCGCAGACGCGGGCGTGAGCTCATCCCGGGCACCCGGTGCCCAGAATGCGCAGCCAGCGGCCTCCCGTGCGCCAGCCCTCACCCTCCGCATCCAGGCAGCAGGCGGGCGGGCAGGCTCATCTTTGCCGTGCTCCGGCCTCAGTCACATGGATCCCTCTGCCAACCTTCCCTGCCTGCGAGCCGGGCGAGTGAAGCCGAGCGCGGAGGCGAGCAGGGACCCCTCCCCTGCCTCTGGCCGCTGGGGCGCTCTGCAGTCTTAAAGCAGCAGCAGAGACGTGCAGCCGAACTGAGACAGGACCGGGGAGAGCGCAGCCACCGCACAGTCACGCACAGTCATCAGGAGGAATTTCTTAGAGGCTTAAATAATCATTTCTACAGCTGCTTATTTTTAGTTATTTTCCTGCAGGTTGCTAATAAGAGATGGCCAGGGTGACTATTGAGGAAGGTGGCCAGCCATGGAGAGGTGAACATGAAATGCTCGTAGTTTTAATAAGATGTGCTGCTGGATTCCGATTCCGTATTTACTCTCAGAAAAGTCTAGTTCATTTGCCTAGTGGGAAATGTTCCTTCCAAATCCTTGCTGCTACTGTAAAGATCTCTATGATTTCACAGGCTAATTTTTAATTATCTTGAATACATTGTAGAATGCAAACACAAGCACTTCTAATTTTGCTCTCTGAATGGCGCATAAAAAAGCTGATTGAAATTGCTGATAATTTGAGTAATCCCAAACATATAACCCCTTTCACGTTTCTGTGAAAAGTCAATATGTTAACATTTCCTGAATGTCCTGTATGATTCCTGAAGTCATGATAATAAATTAAAGCTCTCAAAAGGGCGTACATCTATCCATCACTTTGCAATATAATGACCGACAGGGCTGGAATGCACCCCAGTGTAGAACCCAGGATGAAATGCTCAGAGGCAGGACAATCAGGACTGAGAAAAAGCATTCGGTGGGGGTCAAGGGAGATATTTTCAAGGGAAATTGAGTAGGCTTTTTCCTAGGCACCAGGTATCTTCTAACAGGGCTCCATGTCCCCCTCCAAATACAGAAGAATGATGCACATCTCAGACAGCTCACAAAACAACACAGGAGAAGCAAATGGTGAGGCAGAAACAAAATGGTGCTTTACCAGGGTTGGGCACAAGATGGCCAGGCCCTGTGTACCGGGAAGGGTCAGCTGAGCCGGTGATGCTGCCTGGCTCACCACTGCTCTGCAGCTGCAGGTGATCACGTGCTGCCGCCCACTCTGGCTGCGCAGGCCCAGCCCCCAGTACCACGCACCAGAACCAGTGTCCTCCGGCTTTGCAAATGCTGGGTGCTCAGTCCCTGGTCCTTCCCAAATGCAGCCCAGGAAGGCAGAGGATGGGCCCGATTCTGTCCCTGCATCCAGCTGGTTGACCTATTCATTAATTCTTACTTGCACACTAGCCACCTGCAAGGGTGCCCAGGCACTGGGGTCAGGCAAACCCGGGGTCAAATTGCAGCTCCTCCACTACCCCGATGTGGGGCTTCTGCATGTGACTCGAGCCTCACTTTCCTCATACACAGACTGGAAATTACCACAGTTCTTAACTCACAGGGCTGTGAAGATCTTTCCATCCGTTGACAGCACATGGTCACTATAGTTAGCGATGGCTGTGGTTAACTGTTACTGAGTTTTGGAGCAGGGCTGGAAACATGATTTGCAGGGTCCACTGCAAAATGAAAATGAGAGAGCTCCTTTCTCAAAATGAAAAGGAAGCACCATGACAAGTATAAAACAGAACACTTTCTCCTTTCTTTCTTCCTGCCTCTCTCAACCAGTCATGGTGTCTTCTTCATGCTGCTCTTCCTCAGGCGTGGGAATGCAGCCCTGCACAGACCCCATAGCGCTTCCAGGTGACTCGGTGCAGCACAAGAGGCTTGTACTTGCCAGTTGCTTCCTGGCGCTTGGCTGCACCCACATGCTGTGACTAGCCACAGTTAGAGGGTGGGGAAGCCACTGTCTCTCTCCCACAGCCCACTGTCCCAATGTACAGTGGACATGAGATCCCTCAGGGATTGCAACCTCCCTGCTGGGAAGCTCTGGGTACCTGGACTGGAGGTGGGTGCGAGGCTCTGGAATGTGCCCTGGCACTGCCAGCCTGCTGAGGGGATGGTCACTGCCGGGCCTCACAGTGAACCCCTACACAGTGCTTGTCCTACACATATGCCCAGACACCCACCACAGATGGCAGGTGGTGGCAGAACACAGGCTTGCTGTTCCAAAATGATGCAGTTGCCACCCTACTGGGGGGCAGCAACAATTGCAGGGGCAGAGGCTGCTCAAGAGTTGGGGGAACATGAGGTTGCGAAGTGGACAGCTGAGAACCTCTCCCAAAGGAGAGGTGGCAGGTGGCAGGATGGTACAGGAGCCAAGGCTACAAGCCCCCGTCATACTCCACTGTCCCACTGGATTTAGAAAAGGTAAAACAGAGATGATATCATTAAACATTTCAAGATGGTGACTACAGAGAATTCAACCTCAAGTGCAGGCCCTTCTTTGCTTGGGACCAGATGGGACCCCATGTGAGTGCGACCCTATGTGGTTGTCTATTAATGCATCTGCCACAGGCTGAATGGGTGAAGGATCTTGAATGCGCCTAACACATGCACCAGAGTCTTTTCAGAAGACTTCAGTAAGAAACACACTTATTTCTCACTAAACTGTGAGTTCCATGAGACCAGACACTCTTTGCTATTCAGGGCGGTATCCTCATGGCCTGGCCCACGTACATGCTGGGTAAGTATTTGTGGGCTGGAATGGAGATCTCTAATGCAGGTAGAAGGTGGAACCTGTCCTCAGATACGCACACGTGTACACATAAAGCACCGTGGAAATTTAAGAGGGAAAGTGAGTACTGTACTTCATACAGAAGTCTCAGAGGAAATGGCAAGAAAGTTGAGCTTTCAAATTCAGTTAAGATGTCAATATGCAAAACTGAGTCAAGGACGGGGGCATTCTGCCCTGAGAGTAGAGACATCTGGAAAAGACAACTTTATAAAATAGCTTAGGTTTACAGCGATTCCCCCTTTTGTATTGCTAATCAGTGTAGCCTCTGGAAGACCACTTTTGACCTGAAACAATTCCATCCAGACTTGTCCCTTCCCCGGTTCCGTCTTCCTACAGCTCTTGGTCAGCCATCCTAGTGGAAGAAAGGTGAAGTCAAAGAGGCCACCTTGGTGCCGACTTGACTGATGCTCAATAAGAAACAATGCACATTTGAGGAGTTACATCATCCAAGTTACATCATCCACGTATAGCATCTGTGACTCCTCTGTTTTCTGTTGGAGAACCGGGAAGAGCATATACGAAGCGATGGCCTTTGAGCCTTGTGCTAAAGGAAGGGTTGGGGGTTGAATAGTTGTCAGGGATGAGCGAGGAGGGTATTTTAGGCAGGAAGGTCTCCACCGTGAAGCCTCACTCCTATTGGACCTGTGGGGTTCATTCTGATCAAGGCAATAAGGAGTTTCCCATGGGGGACCTGTATTAGTTGCCTAGGGCTGCTGAAACAAAAGTCCCCAAACTGGGTGACTTAAAACAACAGGAATCTATTGTCTTAGAATTTGGAATGCTACAAGTCCAAAATCAAGGTGTTGGTAGGACCCTCCGCGTTCTGCAACCTGCAGGGAAGAGCTTCCCCTTTTCTCATCCAGCCTCTAGTGGTTGCTGCCATCCTCGGCACTCTTGACTTGCGGCTGCACCTTTCTGATCTCAGCCTCTGTCTTCACACGGCCTTCTTTCTCTCTGTAAGTGTCTGGGCCTCTCTTGTCCTCTTCTTACAAGAATGGTGGTTATGTTAGAGACTCACCCTACTCCAGTATGATCTCATTTCAACTTATTACCTTTGCAACCTTTGATGTCCCTACTTTCAAATAGGGTCCCACTCTGAGGTACTGTGGGTTAGGATTGCACCGTATGTTTTGGAGAGAAGGGAACGCAGTTAAACCCCAACAGGACCAAGATGCCTGAAGTCAAAAGGCAAGAGGCAGGGAAGGGTTTCCGTAGATTTGGGTGAGGACACCAGCATCTTGCTTTGTAACTCACTTGAGCCACGTGCATCAGGGGCCATCACAGTGCTCCCCTGTGCAGAGAAGGAGCTCGGACTTTACCTGGAGTCTCAGTTTCTTCTCGTGGAAAATTGAGTAATCATACCCACCCTTCCTATTTTAGAAGATTGTTGAGAGGATTCAATGAGATATGGGAGTTGGCTCTGAGAAGGTTACACAGATAACCACTACATGATGTCATCACAGCCTACAACTGGACCTACAGAAACATTTTGAGGAAACACATTACTTGGCAAAGCCTCACTCTGGCTGTAGGGTGTTTTGATTCATTGATGCCAGACACAGCCACACCTCTGGTCTCAGAACTGCAAAGGGCAGAGATGACCAAGAATGTCAGCAGCGACCCACCCATTTCTTCCTCCAGTGAACTGACTGAGTCCTTCAACAAATACATGGTGTAAGTCTGTTATCTAGAGGCTGTTATAATAGCCCCTGTGGAGTTAAAGATGGATGAGGATGAACTGGGATAGGCACCGGGGAGCCTGTGGACTGCTTGAAATGTTCTCCATATGCGTGTGGGTGAACACCACACAGGAGCATACACATGGAAAATTTGCCACGCTGTATGCTTAAGCCTTATGTACTTTACATGCCTTACTGTGTGTAAAAAAATAAAGACCAAAACACAGTATCTACTAACCTCAATTAAGCGGGAAATTCAAATAATAGTGACAACAATTTGATAAGATAAATTATATAATCAGGAGTTGACACATCTAATTCAACTAGCTGGTGTGGGGTATGTGTGCCTGTGTGTGTGCTGTACATGTGTGTCTTTCTGTGTGTGCTGTTTGTGTGGTATCTGTGTTTGTGAGTGTGTTTGTGAAAGTGTGTTGTGTCTATGTGTTTCTGTGGTGTGTGTTTTTATTTTAGTGTGTGTGTATTCTGTGTGTTTGCATATGTGGTGTGTGTTTATGTGCATTGTTTTGTGTGTGTGTGTGTGTGTGTGTGTGTGTGTGGTGGAAACAGGTGTGGCAGAGACAGTGAGCAGGAAAAGCTTCCCTGCAGATACCGGAGCTGAGTCCTGAACACTCTATTGGCTTCAGCCTTGTACACGAAGGAACAGTTGCTCCCCACCCCCACCCAGCAGAGAGAGCTGAATGTACAGAGACACAGACTGGAAGGACACAGCACAGTCATGGAAGGCCCCTTGCAAGGAGGAGCTGGGCTCCATCCTGAAGGCAAGAGGAAACCACTGATGTATGGTCAGTAAGGAAGTGA